CGCTTGACAACTTTCAGCGTGGTCACTTTCCCAAAACACCTCTTCTTTTTTTCTGTTGGAAGTTTTTTTTTTAAAAATATTGCTTTTATAAATGCAATAAAGATAAGCTTTAACTTCTTAAGTTAAAACATTTGCCGGGCAAAGCAAAGAAATCAATCAGAATGAATCCATCTCGTTTGTTTCCTACAATGAAAAATTGAATTGTTGAACCAACTCACATGAATTGCGTCAACTGGTAGCACACAATTAAATTAGGTTTATCCAAATTAAGTAAAATTAACACCACTATTTTAAGCTAGATGTACTTAAATCATTTGAATCCTCTCAAATGAACAGTTTGCATTGCTGCAGTTATTTTAAGGAAACTCAGTTTGAAATTTAGATTTTTTTCCCCGAACATAAGTATTTGTTTTACCCAAACCTTGAATGTAAATCATGATTTTCTCATCAGACTTACATTTTCTTTGCATCTGTAATCCTACTTGAAGAAAACAGCAGCTGAAAACATTTGAAGACACAAGGACATCACAACGTCACAATGCTAAAGGAGCAGGAAACCTGATTTTCTTGCTTTTGCTAAAATTAGAATATCAGTGTAAAGGGGCAGCATGTAAGGTCAAGTTGATAAAATTCTCAAACGTGAACTGACCTCACCAAAGCTTAATGAGATTCATTTGAAACTTTACTCTAACTATAGTTCGAAGACACTGTTTTACATCTATGTGATTCTTCAGTGTTGACTTGATATTATATAAAAAGTACCTCTCATGGACATATACAAAAAACTGACGATTTTTTTTTAGTTAAGTTAGATAACGTTTAAAGGCCGGTAATGTTGATAATGTCTTCAGCTGGCCAATTATGGATGACGATAAGAAGAATAAGAAATAAGAAGCTGTTTTTCAGTTATACAGCAAAATACCTGAGGAGTCGTTTTCTTTGATGCCTGAAATGAGCTTTTGTGTGGATTCTCAAGTTGATGAAAGACTCGCTGTGGATAGAGCAGCTGACCGCCTGGAATGACTGCTGATGGGAAGGAGCAGACATCAGTGTGTAGCTGCACTCTATTGCAGAATCATCAACTTTTATGGCTACTCCGATACCTATAAAAATATGAACAATCACCTGGGAGTCAGTAAAAGAATGTGAGGCGGACGAAGCCTTACAGCTACACGGCACGGTTTAGGAAAGCAAGAAAACCTGCTTCAGGTTTGCTCTTGTGTCTGACAAAAGATAAAAGAGCTTCAGTATGAATATCACCCAAAGAGGAAGCGCCTGAGAGAAGGTCAGTGAAGTTCAGGTGGTTGGTTAGTGAGAACTCTGTTACCGGTGCAGGCTACAAATCCTTCACCTGCTTTACTAACACAGCCAGTGTGGAAGATTAGGAGTCAGAATATGAAAGGATGAACTTCAGACTTCTCTTAAAGCCTCTGAATATCAAATACATTGTGGCAACCGTCACAGAAGAAGCATGTGAATTCTGATGGACTGTGTGAGGACCTTGTTGGTAAATGTTGTGTTACTTTCATCACACTGGAAATTAAATCACTTCAAATTAGGCTGCATGGATGTCGTTTGGTCAAGTGTCTCGCCAGTGTTTCTGGTGACGTGTTTTTTTGTGTAATTTCAGAAGTAAAGAGACTGACAGAGACAAAGAAAGAGAACAAATGAGCAAAAAAAAGAAAGGGACCAATAAGTAGGCAGTCAGAAAGTTCATAAGGCATGTTGTTGCTGCTCAGATGTAGCCTGTATAAACCCATCTGCACTGGCAGCAGCAACGCAATAAGCGCTAAACTGCTTTTCGTTATAATTCAGTACTTTTTGTTTTGGTTGGCAAATGTGCAGATGTTGGACTTGTCCAGCTGACACTTAACACACACCCTTGTTAACTCTATAAAGTCAATATTAAAGTACAGGTGCAGTGTTTGGGCTCCATTCCTCAGTATGAGTTCAGCACAAAATAAAAAAAATATTCACCCCTGTCTGGTATGGCAAAATCAAAGGATCACTTCATAACACAATGCAGTTCAATACAACAGCATCACAAAACTAAAAGTTAAAAAAAAAAAAGCATCACTGCACATCTGTTGATTTGGATCCACTGTAAAAATCCCAGTGCAAAGTTCACAATATATGATGAAAAAACATGATGCAAATTTAATATTTATTTAAATTTAAGTTGTCCTGATTTGTGGTGGAAATTTTCTTCAATATGCCTGAGAAAAAAAAACTCCAAAAGCAAGTCATTTTATTAGTATTTATGCAGTAAGTCTGCACTGGGAAGAAGGATGGTTTTTACCTGAGATGCCTCTTGAAGGCAACAGGCAGACACGCTGCAGCTTTGATCCATTAACGCTCCGGCTTGCTCGCTCTTTTATTGGCAAACTGAAAGATCTGTCGTGTTTTGCCTCTAAATAATTCCCCATTACACGAGCACGCCTTACAGCGTCTGCGCTACAGTCCTAAACCGGTTTAATTTTCCATTGAAGACAATAGGCCTCGCTAATTGATTTTAATGGCTCTCTCCGCGACGATGCGCCCCTTATGACTTGGAGAGAGGTCTTTAAGATTATTATTATTAGTATAATTGCCATTACCCCTACACTTTCCCTTTGCGAATGGGAGACAGAGAAAGAATATCTTTGCCCTTAAGCTGAACAAATAATTATTAGAGACTGGAAACAAACAGACGACCGTCACTCACACGCGCTCCTACGTGCGCGCACACACGTACACACTGAGAAACTCTCCACCTTGGAGTAGACCCCCTCCTGGCGACCCTCATTCCCTCCGCCGCCCTCTTCGTGCAGCGTCCCGCTTGTAATTTATGCAAAATTAATTGATACATCTTTTATAATTGATGTGCTGTAAACTTAATGAGTAATTTATGTAATTAGTCAATTAAGGATAATTCCAGCATATGTTCCGTATGCCCAGAAGGTGCGCTTTACAACTAGTTATTTGTCCAGGAGTTGGGTGCGGGCGAAGACAAAGACTACCTAATTAATTTTGTTATGCAGATCAGCCACGGTGTCTATTTAACGGCCCCCTTTGTGAAAACAGATTTAATATTGATCTTTCCCGGGCGTTTTAAGAGGATGCTTTTACGCGCGTCGGCCTCGGAGGGCCTCAGAGTTTCAGATCTCATTTTTCAAGCGCCTGCAAAAGAGTTTTATGCAAAGAAAAAACAAAAAAAACAAGAAAAGAAAAAAAAAAACACAAGACAACAACTGCTGCCTTTATTTAGTGAATATATACATGTTCACTCTCTGTCGAGCCAAGTGGCACTAAAAGGTAATTTTCCTTACAATTACGCGACGTCTTTAAAATATGCTCTCCGCTGACACCGTTGACCTTTTGAGTGGGCTTTAAGGACCGAGACATAACGGGAGAGACACACCGGCTAATTAATTGACACAGTTTTGAATATTCATACCTAATACAGCGAGCTTGCCCTTAATTACATTGTTGGACTTCTCTCCTAGGAGGCTAAATCACGGAAGGCTTAATTATTGTAATGTATTCGAGGGCCCACCGGGGCACCGAGGAAGACAGGAGCCGTCAAGGACCCAGTCATGACACCTGGCCAGAGGAAAGAAATATATGGGGAAGGGGAGCAGCTTTTGTTGTTCTCCGCTGAACAGAATTCAGAGCAGGGGATGAAGTTTGTTTACATCCTTGTAGGATTCACCAGAGAGTGTTTGAACAGACAGACAGCCGCCGGACTCCCCTCTCAGCAATTAATCAACAACAGCGCCTCTCTCTCTCTCAGTGTGTGTGTGTGTGTGTGTGTGTGTGTGTGTGTGTGTGCGTGTGTGTTTTCGGTGCAGTTGTGTAATTGAGAGCAGAAGAGGAGCGCACTGATGATTGTGCGCAAAGGAAGACATGATTTATTGTTTGCAAAGTCTGAAAGTGCAATCGAGCAAATTTAAACAAGCAGGCTGTATTTATATATTCCATTCTTTACTATTTATTTCCTCAAGAGAAAGAAGACCTGAACTCACATTCTCTGTTATTTCATTCATGTATGCTCCGACATGACACCGCCGAGGAAAAAGACCCTTTGGCACCAAAATATTACCGTACGTGTGGTGTCACGTTCAAACTTTTCAAAAGGTCAAAGGTCAGGGTCATCTGCGGAGAAGCACTGGTGGAGGTATTGGTGATTTGTCTTGCTGCAAGATATTTAAAGGAAGCGACGCATTAAACACAGTTCAGTGGTTGAGATCTGTCGTGCCGGTTCTGTTCTGTCCCTGTTCTTTACGCGTTGCTCTTTGATTGGCAAACAGCAGATTAGAAGCGAACGCCTGCGCTGAACACACCTCCCCTCATTTTTATTCATTTCTGTACCCTCTTCTCTGTCTCGCGTAACCCCCCCACCACGCGCGCGCGCACGCACACACACATGCACACACACACACACACACACACACACACACACACACACACACACACACACACACACACACACAGCCCTCTGCTCTCTCCTGACGTGTCCCCTAAGTGTCTGGATAATAGATAATAGAGCCGGCGACCTGCGGGGGTCTTACAAAAACGGCGCTCTGCGAGTAGGAGCATCGCACAAGGAGGAGAGGAGCCACACACACAGACAGCAGACAGCAAACCGGACCCTCATCTCCTTTAACCGCCACGGAAAAGAAGGGAACTCAGAGGAAATCTCAACTTTTACGCACGGAGACTGACTTTTACGCACAACTTCAAGAGCTTCATTTGGAGAAGAGGCGGACAAAGAAACTTAATTCGGATGCAAGAGCCTCTCAAGGATCTTACCAGACAGCCGCGGGGCCCTTTGGTTACTCTGTATTAATCGATATAACGCAGGTAATCTAATCTGATGGCTCAGAACTTTGGAACAGATCAGTCAGATGGAGACTGATGGGAAGACTGTCAAGTTATCACCGTAAAAGAAAGCATTTAGAATTTACCTCCAAAGGCTGTTTTATTTAACAACTGACACTTTAAAAAAAAAGGAAGCAGTTATGCCCCGTCCTGGGAAGAACTCTTACAGCGACCAGAAGCCTCCATACTCCTACATATCACTGACAGCGATGGCTATCCAGAACTCAGCCGAAAAGATGCTGCCTCTGAGTGACATTTACAAGTTCATCATGGATCGGTTTCCATACTACCGAGAGAATACCCAGAGGTGGCAGAATTCCCTGCGCCACAACCTCTCGTTTAACGACTGCTTCATCAAGATCCCACGGAGGCCCGATCAGCCAGGGAAGGGCAGCTTCTGGGCTCTGCATCCGGACTGCGGTGACATGTTCGAAAACGGCAGCTTCCTGAGGAGACGGAAGCGCTTCAAGGTTCTGCGTGCCGAGCATATGAGCTGCAAGAGTTCACCGATGATGCATTACTTCCACCATCACCACCACCACCACCACCCGGGCGGCAAGCTGAGCACAGCAACAAGCCACCACGACCACTCCGCGGCCCCGGCAAGCGTGGGTCGGCTCCCTCACTTCCAGGGTTACGGGGGCATTGCTTGCGCGCAGCCCGGCGGCTTTAAACACCCGTTCGCCATTGAGAACATTATAGGACGGGACTACAAGGGTGTGGTGGCCAGCGGGCTCCCTCTCACCTCGGTCATGCACCACCTGGGTTACCCGGTGCCCCCGCAGCTCAGCAGCGTGGTCAACTCCATGTGGCCGCACGTCGGTATGCTGTCAGAGTCCATGGGTGGCGTGCCGGTGCCAGCATCATCCGAATACGCGCCGTTCAGTGTGTCAGCAAAAGGCCTGTACCACAACGCCAACGGGCAGACCCTGCCCGCCGTTCCCGTGCCAATAAAACCCACCCCGTCCCTGGGTCCTGTGCCGGGTCTGACGGGGCTGCAGTCTGGCCCGGCTCAGCTCTGCTCACCGCCCTCAGTGATGGAGAAAAGCGATCTGCTGGAGGGGAAAGGCAACCCTCTACACCCGGCTCTGCTGCTGTCTTAACCGGGTAAATTACGGGTTATTTTTATTTTACTGTTTTTGGGAAAAGTTCCACAAACAAGACAGACGTTGTAATTACATAAAATAAGACAGAATAGGCCTTTGAGAGACGTCATATTTTAAGTTGCGTGCAGCTGTAAGGAGGTTGTAAAACTAAGGTTAATATTGTGCTGTGTAATGAATTTTTCATTAGACCCATGTTGATTGAAATCATAATTTATTTGCACACTTTGTGAGGGCATTTACCACATACTGTAATGTGGCACTGATAAATACAATCAGACGAGAAGAAACGCTAAACCCAAAGAAAGTTTGATTTAGGAGACAAACAGCCTGAAATTCTTTCCAAAAACAAACCAACAACTGTTTCTATTTTTTGCTGTTATTCTTTTATTTGAATCAATGGCAGGCCTGTCCACTAAAGAGGCCGTCGTGTTGATTTTTTTTTTTTTTAATTAGGCCTGTTGCACTTTTTTTGTGTGTTACTTAGCAGTGCATTGGAAATGTTATGCTTGTATTATAACACTATTTATCTGAAGATATTTATAAAGAACTTAAAACCGAATCTTTGGTGTTGTACTTATTTAAATACTCCTTGAATTGAATTTGCACACTTTTTTTTCCGGGGATCACTAGATTTGCACACTGAAGGAGCAAATAAGAAAAAAGGAAATCCATTAGACTCCGGCGTTATTTCACATTGGAGCCGATCACTGCAACACTGACTTATTTCTCAACTTTAAAGATTCTGCTTTCCTGATTTTAGGATGTGTTAAAATGACTTCTTTACACAATATTATTCAATATTTCAATCCGTGCTGCTCATGCCATCCTCTACAATAAGAAGTAATAACACACTCTGCATGCCACCAGTTGCTCTGCTCCATGCATAATAAAGGATTCAGTTTATTTCCATTATTTTACACCAGCAGGTTTTAGATGCAACAGATTCTTATTTTAATTACATCTATGATATTATTTTAATTTACTAGATTAGTTAGACCTGTGATCATACAGTATTTATTTTTACTGACTCATGATGACATGGACTCTTGACTCAACAATATTTAAAACTTGAAATCTTAAATTTGATTCACCACAGATGAAGTCTATACAATACATACTATATTTTTCAAGCTCATATTTTTAGTGTGACAACAGAACAACAGAATTATAAGGAAAACAAACTTTGTCTGAACCAAACTTAACTGAAGTTAAGCTCTCACCTCATGTGCACAAATTCCTGCAAGTGTGGACATTAAGGCGTGAATCACATCTGGAGTGGATGTATGTGCTGATGCATGTTTTGTGTAAAGAGAGGAGGAGGGAGGGGGGGGTCCGTATGATGTTCATAAGATGGATATGAGCAGTCGGCACTCTGGACTGCAGCTCCGCAACTTCAAAAGCAGACAGGGAGATCGGATCAAGTTTGCTCTTTTGTTTGCTCTGTTTAAATGAAGCTTTGAAGCTTGTCCTCTCCAGCAGCACAAAGCGCCAGGTTCAGCCTACTGAAAATGACTTATATTTAACCTCCTGTCCCCTGTTTAGCATCCCAAAGGCTCCCACAGCCGACACTATTGTCACACCAGCCTCTGAACAAATAATTGAGATGCACCAGTGGAGGAGAGGCGTGGGAGTGAAAAATTAAAACCTATTTGGGTGTCATTGCTAACGAGCAGAATAGACATAATTGTGATTACCCTCATCTTTCCCGTCCTCATCCGGTCCTTATTTTATTCTATATTTTATCAATTCCCTTTTTCCTTTTCAAGCTGATTTGGTTTTTTTTAGTGGCTGTCTGCACTTTTCTCTACTACACCACCTTTTCTTTACATTTCATCTCATTTAAACAGACACTTTCTCTGCAGGGTGTCTGTAATTCCTAGTTAAAGGGAACTGAGATTTCTACGGCACGACAAGTGTCTGTGTGAGAAGTGTGCCTGTAGGTGTGTGTGTGTGTGTGTGTGTGTGTGTGTGTGTGCGTGTGTGCGTTGCTTTAATTCCCTGATCAGCAGGCCTCAATGTCTTTAATAGCCCTCACTGCATTAGTGCATAATTAAATGCCACTAATTAAGACACAATAAGAGGAGTAATAATGCAGCCATTACTACCCTCCATGATCCTCTGTCTGCACAACACCAGAGTTAGTTGCCTCTGGAATTATAATATCACATGAGGTCTCCTAATATGCACATGTGTTTACGTGCTGGGTAATAGGAGGCGTACGTGCAGCTTAATTTTCTAAGGTGCTGCTTGTGTCAAAGCATTTAACAGTTAAATGGTTTTCAGTCTCAAGACAAATTAAAGCTGTTCTTGTTTTTTTGGATAAGTGTTGGTATGCAGGCTGCATTCTAGATCACATCTTATTTCTGGTTGTGTGATTTCTATGTTATGGCAATAAAACAAAATAATAATAATTTGGGTGTCTATGAATTTCAACAAAATAGTTGGACTGGATGTGACTCTTAGTAGAAACAGTTGCACTTACATCATGGTCTTAGTACTATGCACAGTCTGGAACACCTTAGAATAAGTTTTATATTTTTAAAAAAATGCAACTAAAAGGCAATCAGTAGACATTATTTATGAATTGATTTACAATAAAAATAAAAAAAAATCTGATTTCTTTCACGCCTTAAAAGAAGCTGGAACATACTGCTCCTGACTTTCAGAAAAAACAATCAGTATGTTTGGCACCAGACATTTTTTTTTCTTTTGTTTTTGCAGATACCAACCTGAATCAGGAACTGAATCTCATCAAACTGCATCTTAGAATAAATAATGTTAAATACATTTAAAAACGTTCCGGGTTGTTTTAATGTCTCAAAATGAAAACCACAGAAAACATAGCCTACGTTCTAAAGCAGTTACAGACAGGTGGTTCTACTTAAAATGATGATCAGGTTTCATTTAAATTTGTGGCCTAATTACAGAAATATAGAAAAACAGAATGCAATTTTACAATAGATGATTTGTTGGTGACTGTAAATGTGACAGCTAAAGCTTGAAGAGTTTTTTGAAGACTATTAACATTAACACAGCAGCTCTAAAGACTGAAGCAGAAGTGTAGGAAATTTAAATAAAAACTCATAAATGCTGCTGGAAACATTGATGACTTATGACAACAATGAAGTTCAGTAACGTATCAGTCTGCGCAGAAGTTGACCTGTGCATAGGTTACCACAAATCTATGTTTGTAAAGTTGAGATTTCTCTTTTGAACGACATCATATGAACATTTTTAGTGCGGATGTGAGCGTACCTGACATTAATATGAAAGAACTCGTAATTCACGGAAAAACTGTTCATCGTGAAACATGAGCTTAAAATGAATAATCGGGGTCTTATGAATGAATAAAACATTTAGGTCAGAGGTGTTTCACTGTCAGCCCTCCGAAACGTAACGTTCCGGCCTTGAATAGACGATGATACATTAGTGGTAATTACCCACACTTCATAGGGGCCAGGGTGGCAAATTCTACATGCGTTTCTCTTAATGATCAGCGAGAGCAGGCCATCATGATGAGCAGCTTAATTCATCTGATCTGATCTGATCTGATCTACACACACACACACGCACACACGCACACATGCACACACACATGCACACAAACCTTAAATATTATTCTTTGTTCCAGACAGTGGTCTTTTATTCAATATATTGGGAACATCAGATGACAGAAATTTGTTCTAATTTCTTTAAACCTATAATTGCCATACAAGGATTCCTTGTTCAGTCACAGCTTGACTGATCATTAAAAAATATCAGCGGAGCCGCTACGATTCTATTTGGAGGCTTAAAACTACATTAGAGCAACTATTTACTTTGTTAAACAACTTTACGATGGAGAGCAGAAATCAAATGAACTTCATTAAAAGTTAAAATGCGTCAAATTGTTTCATAATTTGCAGAAGTAGAATTCAAAGATGGGAGTACATGAGTTCTTTTTTTTCATTAAATTGTCTCAAGCCTGTTCACTGTTCTAGCTGCAAGTTTCTCTGATTAGAAATTGAGACAAATGGGGACTAAAGTATGAGTGTGATAAATGCAGTCAGAAAGAAGAGCGTGCAGTATGAGAGGGATATGAAATATGTATAAGTACACAAGGACAACTTACAGTTTAAAAATTAGCTGGTTTTTAATTTGTCAAAAATCAAAGATTGACCCTTGATCCTTAATTGAATTCATTGGATACCAAGGAGCGGTTCCCACCCGTCTATATAGTGTCTCCTCAGTTAATGGTGTATGTCAGAGTGAAAATAAAGTCCTGAGGTTCCAGAAAATTGCCTGTAGACCTACAAGATGAGATCTGTAAGGACACAAGAACATTTCAGTGGCATTGAAGGTGTTCACGATAATGACACCCTTCATGTCAGGTGGAACAGGTTTGAAACCAACACCTCTTCCTAGATGCGGCCACCAAGTCAGACCGAGTAATCAGGAATGAAAAGCACTGATCAGACAGATAACCAAGAACTATTAATGACATCCAGAGTTCCGTAGTGGAGATGGAAGAACCCTACAGAAAAACAACTGTTAGTGCAGAATTCTATCAATCAGGCCTTTATGACTGAGTGGACAGACAGAAGTCACTCCTCAGTGGAAGGCTAAATACAGCCTGTTGTGATAAACGACCCTGAAAAACAGCAGCAATATCCTCTGGTTCTGATGAACTGACGGTTGATTTATTTGGCCACAATTTTCCCAGCATGTGTGGCACAGAACATCATTTCTTTAATACATTCCTGAAATCAAACACGGCGGTGGCAGCATCATGCTGTGGGGATACTTTTATGTGACGAGGACTTGGAGATTAATGGATGCAGAAAATACAGAGCAATTCTGTGTGAAAACCTTGTCCAGAGAGCTCAGGATGTCAGGCTAAGGCAGAGGTTTACATTTTAACTTAACGGTGACCTGAAGCGTACTGCCAAGAAAAACAAAAACAGCTTTGGGAAAACTTTGTGAAAGTCCTGGAGAGACATCAGCACTGCCCATCCAGA